CTGTAGACAATTCTTTAAAAAATTTAAAGTGCTCCCGATAACATGCCTCTACATTTATGAAGTTGGGGTATTCGTTAAAAAACATGGTAGGTTATTCGAGAAAGTTAGCGAAACCAGAAAGTATTTGTCCAGAGACCCGAGTAAGTTGGTTCTTCCTATGATGTCGACTACTTTGTTTAAAAGGAACTGTTATTGTATGGCTATCCAAATATTTAACAAGCTACCTAAAACTGTAAGGGAACTACCACTGTGTAAATTTAAGAATGTGCTCAAGAAATGGCTTTTAGAGAAATGTTTCTATTCTATGGCCGAGTATATGGCTCATAAGGAAGAAACTGTTTAGGCTAGGTACCATAAATTCTTAATATTGTATTGTTAGTTTTTAAGACTTTAAATTGTTATTTGTTTTTAAGTTTTTCTTGTTGATAAATACCCTTTTTATTTATATTTGTATGCCGATGTTACGGCGAAACATGCAGAACTTATAAGAAATGTTACATCTATGTACCCCGTGTTTCATACAAATAAAGATTTCTTATTTCTTATTTCTTATTTCTTAATAATCTTAAAAAGTGTAGATCACAGATGGGCCCACTAGGGCAAATGTCGAGCGGTACCGGGTGTAAGGACAGTAGATAATCTAGCAGAGATCTTTGGAAGATTACCCCCCTCATAAATGAATTGATGAATTATAAAGTTCATAAGGTAGTAAATAATACAAAAAACTAATGTGTTTTATCCGTTTAATAATCACAAGTGAAATATTATTACATAGGTTAATGAAGATAAAAGTATATAATAATTATGTAGTTTAGCTAAATATTACCACTATGTGGAATATAAACTTATGGGTAACCTTAATTACGTATCGTATTACTAATCCTATTTCCTTATTAAATACCTGTATAGAAATAAAAAACCACGAGCCATACAATTGATAACGTCAAAAAGTTCTAAGGATCTCAGTGCATTCATATGTAATTGGGTAGTATCTGAGAATTGCCCATTTTATAAATTTTCTGCACTTATTTACCTAACACCCCAAAATTTAGGGCATTTTTTTTAATTATTCTGTACTAAATTTGGGATTGTTCGAATTACCTTTATAAATACCTATGGATCTTATTACGTGGTTTCTTTTTTCTATACAGTCAAATCTGGGGTTCAATAAACCCAGATCGATAAAATACCGAGTACCAGGTCAATAATACCAAAGTACCGGCTTATTCTAAACTAATATGTTGCAGATCATTCGAAAACATTTACTTATACTTCATGAAAAACAATACTAAGACCGAAGGCTTATAATTAAACATTTTATAACTTAATATAACAGTGTTCTTTCTGGAACTTTTTTAAGGTTATTGCTGTTATATGGTAGCGAAATTTTGTATGGGCAGGTCGATCTCGCCACCCGCTAGGTGTTGAAAAATACCGTACTTATATTCAACGTTATGGAGACCATTTTATAGTAGCATAGTGCTCATTCCTCAACGTGAAATATATCAAATTAAAAAGTAGCCTCATAAGATCTAAAATAACAAAAACTAGCCTCAAACAACAATGTTTAAACTAATCTTATTTCTAAACAATTTACACCAGACATCTTGAAAGTTGAACAACGCAAACATTAACTAAAATTCTGTCAACTTTTTGATCTTTTTCGGGACACAATAAGGCTTACAATAGCACATATTTTTCTTGTTTATAGAAGAGATAAAACAACAGTGCATGTTACGTCACAACTCCTTAGTAACAGAAAAATTAGGTTAGAAGTTTCAAATGACAGCCGTTGGCAGCACCATCGCTTTATGCCTTCGTCGCTCAGTAATAACCAATCACAATAATTTATTAATGAAAACAGACTTCCAGAAACCGGTGCGCATTTCATTAAGGCTATGTTATTAAAATAAAATAAAACACTCTAAGCTACTTTTCGAGGTATGTTTTGTTGAAATAAGATAAACCTAAATACTACCCCTTAGATACTTAGAGGTTTCATAAAATAGAAGTTCAAGTAAATGACAATATAAATATTTATAAAAACCTGAATGTTATTGCAGACTAAACGCCATCTGTATCTATTTTTATTACTGAATTGTTAGGTGGACATAATAATAATATAATTTAGTGATTAAAATCAGACAGATTTTGAACTTTTTGAAGGAGAATTTAGTAAAAAAAAGCCTTACGACCATCCAATTTTTTTAAGTAGTTTTTTTTTCTATTTAACTTTACATGTTTTTTTTAAACCATCCATTCATATCTTTGGCTTTTTCTCCTCTTACTATCGTCTTGATATCGTTAACATCCATCACATTCACTTACCTAAATGGATTTAATCCTTTCTACTTACAATATGAACCTTCGATTGATAAAATGAACGAACACGAATGATGAACTACTTACAAATAGTGAAACACAGACTCGCCATCTTGCCCGTAAAACCCAGCTACATAAAAACCGAAACCATCATCAATTTTATGGTCAGTCTTTGCGAAGGTTTTTCTACCACAATCGTTTGCTTCTAATGTAACCTAAATATTAATACACGCTTTAATTTATTTTGAGAAATCTTTGCTCCAGTGCCGTTTGCCTGCAATGTTCTTAAGAACATAGCCGATAATAAACGAGATCTCACAATGACTATTTTATAGTTAAAAATGTTATCGCAAACTAAGAAAATCAAATATATTTCGGATTACCTCAATCCTTATATTTCTCTGATCATTACGTATCCAGTACAGACAAGCTTTCAGAAAATTAATTAAAAGACCGCAATTTATTTCGAAATTTTTAAATAGACGTTTCATTTCGAAAGCGGCAACGGCGAGCAGTTCGTAACGATACTTTTCTATCCTATAAGCGTCAATAAACCTTTATTTACACATAACTAATACCTAAATAGCACAATCCTGGTTAACAAAACCTCAAAATTAAAGTATTCATTATCTTCAAGCGCCATCGCCCTCAGTTCCTGAGTAAAAGGTAGCCTATTATGTTTGTCAGCTCAGACTACAATCTATTTTGAGCCAAAATTCGTTCAGATCAGATCCTTTCAGAACTTTTAAGGTGAAATAATATCTTACTCTACTTACACACTTGAGTTTTAGTTCTTGCTAACGCTTTTACTATAATATAAACAGCATAATATAGCCAATGAATGTCCACCACACTGGTTTCAGTATTTCTCGAACATGAATACCTATAAATAGCTTTTATAACCACCATTTTATATATCATTCACTTAAAATTCACCTTAATCTATAAAGAATAGAATAAACAATAAATGTACTTACGTAATTATCTTAAAAATACTATTTACCACTAAATACCACTAAGTATATAATATTAGTATTGAAACACTAAGTTTAATAACTATAAAATGTAGCTAATGTTTCGTAAACTATTATATACTTAAAAAGGGAAATAGCTAGGAAAATACTAAGATAATAATATTAATAATTAATGGGAACGTTTCACGTTAACAACATAAGATCAACAATTAAACTAAATTTAATAGTAACAACTTTTTTTATACAGGAACAACTAATATTTTCCATGTTTTCAAGATTCACACAGATAATGAATAATTAGGAATACCTCCCTATACCTATATATGAACCTATCGTACAAAACTCTTTGTGCAGTAGTTATAGATTTATTTTGAGATAGGCTTTGGCTAGCGAGCCGACGGAACGTTGATGGTAGACAGTCGGTGGCGTCATGGACACCTGTAGGCCTACCGGGCGAGAAAGAGGGATGGAGCTATAAAATGTGTATAGTTCCATCCCTCTTTCTCGCCAGAAAAATTGACGCTTTAACACGTCATGGTAGGCCCTCTGCATCCACAGTGGAGTTGCAAGTTCGTTGCTAACGCTTTGTATGCCTTTATTGTTTTTTTTTTAACATTGTTATAGGTAGGCAAGGTTAAAGAGCATTGTTCTTAATTAAAATTATTTCTGTGAATCCCTTTAGCATGTTAACTAATTTCGAATTTTATAACTGAGATAATTTTATAACTAAAATTATATAATAATAAAAATGCTTTATGATCTCACTTACATATAAACTGTTTTTATGATATTCACTGACTACTATGATTCGCTATTATACCTAATTAGGGAATCAATAAAAACATAGCTAACGTAATTAGTTGTCTAACTTTGGAATGCCATTTAAACTAAGTAAATTTATTACAAATATCTACTTACCACCTAAGAAGTAAATACATTTTAAAAACAAAAAAAAATACTTAAATGAGATGTCTCTTCGGTTCTGGATCAGCTAAGTTTGTTAAAAACTGCAGAATCTGGAATACAAAAGTAACAAATTATGAATTCCCGCCATAATCAACTTTTTAATGTATGCTCCTAAAGTGTTGGACAACGCCATCTAACAAAAGTACCCCGAACTAAACTGAAAACAAAACAAGTTCAGCTCACTAAAGATCTACAACAGGCAAGTTCAAAGAGGGCGCTACCACTCGTCGCGTTTAAATACGGAATAGAAATGTAGTGTGGCAACTTTAAATTTGCTTTTCTTTACCGCAGAAAATTACAAAAAATCTGACAAACATTCTACTCGTATAAAGAGACTAATCGGCCTGTAGTAGGAAAAGGAACGAGTGGCTTTAGTCGGTTTACCTCTCAAGTCTAGCGTGAGGTTTACTGACTAAAAACAGAATAATTCTAAACCTACGTCTATTACGCTTAACTTATCAGATGCAACATTGATGGTGTGATTAGACACACAAAAAGAAGCAATTTTCTGATATTTGCTTACAATATCTGGATGTACTGCCAGCCTGTGCTATTCCAGACTATAATAAAGGTACTCACATATCTTCTATTTAGATCCTTTGCGTAGGATTAACGTAAAAGAGTGGCTTTCACATTAATATTATTGAATGGATCTTCATGTTTTGGATAAAGACTCATTCCGTTAACGATACAGATAAAGCAGCTGGCATAAGTTATAATAGGATATCACACCTCTGTTTAAGACCAGCGCTGCTGCAGACGGTCTCGCTCCTGCATCAGCATCTCAGTTTCTTTCTTCAGACGCTCAGTAGCCTCACTCAGCCACTCTCTATCCTGCTTTATCCCCTCTCTTTCCACCTTCACCTTCGTCAAAGCATACACCATATCTGAAAAATATAACATCGACATTAATTACAATATTCCACAATTTGAAGATTGATATTTTTTAACAGTTACAGTGATCGCCGTAAAAGCTGACCTAAAGCTATTTAAGCGCCACCTGGCGAGCAGACAGAGTAGCAAATTTCATTCTTCGCAAGATTAAAAGTACAACTGCAGTGTAAAGTAAGAAATAATAGGAACGTAGGTACAGCTTAGATAATCTATAAAGTTTTGAAAATATTCGCATTAATTTCGCTTTTGAATAACAGTAAGAAATAAGTTCTATAATAATAAATTGTTGTTACCTATAATGTACTTGAATACATTTCTTTAAGTAGTTTTTGTTTTAACAATCGCGGGATGCAAATACAAAGAGCATTAAGGTTTGTTGAATTATGAATGGTTAAGCTGCCTGCTTATAACCTCTTCTAGCTTGGAACCAGTCAAAATTCTTCATGTACAGTTACGTGAGTACCTACTTAAGTCTTATTTTTGTTTGATTTTATACCATGCTGTTATAATCCAAAATATATTTAGGTACATAAAATTCCCTTTATATTAAGCGCACAGCCTTTACAAACAAAATATGAGGCGTAAACACTTTGATATGATGGTCGCAAATATATTGTACGTGTGAGTGAGGTTACCGGTGGCCCAATTCTTCCCTTCGCCCAATCCCTAAATCTCCAAATCCCTAATACCAAAAAGGTCGGCAACGCACTCGTAACTGCTCTGTTGTTGCGGGAGTCCATGGGCGGCGCTGATTGCTTACTATTAGGTAATCCGAATACGTTTGCCGAATTACCTATCACATAAAACAATGGTAAATTCGCGCTAGCAACAGCATTGTTTCATTATAAACATTTTTAGTATCCCGATATTTACAAGGATTAATAATTATAATTCTGTATTTAACAAATCGCTGAAGCAGATAATTATACTATCAAAAACATATGTGTACACAGAGAAGCGTAAGCATACTTATGTTTCGTGGCGTGTATCAGTTTTATACATTTATTTTTATTAGATGCTTACTGCTTTGTCTGTCGTGTCGTTTTTTCTGTCAAATGTACGAAAGTGATATGCTATGTATTGGCATATCGCGAGACGCAACGATATGTTAGTATGTTTCTGCCTTAATAATAACATAACTTGATCATTTATGTTGGTTTGTATAAATGTACAATAGGTGCATCTATGAGGGCTGATTTTTCAATAGTCAGATAAATGTTATCTGAGGAATAAAATCGTTGATGTCAAGCAGAGGCGTTAACTGTTTACTTAGAAATAAATAACGCTGGTATGCTATAACTGAGCAAATTTGTAATACAAATATAATATAAAAGACTAATGAAACATCATGGCAAATATTAAGACTTAATCGCACAAGCAAACATGTTCAAAGAAGTTCGTTCAAAGTAAGAAGGTGAAACATCTAACATAAATTAAATTCAAGTTGGCGCATGACACACATAGATATATAAATATGTGTGATTGCAGTCAAGTAATCGTCGGGGATCAAGGGACGATCTCCGGCCACCGTAAGCGTGGGTCTGCGGTCGGCGAGTAAGGGTAGCTCGCCGCCCAACCAGAACCAGACCCGAGCGTACGCGCGTAGCGTTCCGCGCGCGCCTCAAAGAGCCAATAGACCACCACAGACGGGGCCCCATAGGGCTGATGATCAGCCGGCGTTGCGGGGTAAGCGCAATGAGGCACCGCGACCTCGGCCCAGAGCAGGAGAAGGAACGGGGTGTTTTTAGTCAGTAAGAGTCTGATACTCCCTCCCGCCCCACCCTGGGCGGGAGGAGTCAATGTATGATTATCCCCTGACAAAAAAAAAACCTGGTAAAAAAGCACATCATATAATTCGCTCTCATTTCACACGCATGGCGGTTTAAAACCTAGAGAAGCACAAATGTGACCTTTTCCGAATTATTCTAGGATTCCTATGTTTATTTAGACTTTCTGAAACCTGGACTTATATTTTTCTAAGTACTTAATAGTATGAAATCGCTCGCATTGCTCAGCAGTTGGCTTATAGGCTGTGATGACGGTGATGATATAGCATACCATGCAGATTGATATAAGAATTAAAAATTATGAAATTTGAACTGCATAAAAGGAATATGATTATAAATTTTATTGAAAAACATCACATAAATACACAAAAATGATAAAATTTCTTCGTTAATAGCATAGAATGAAACACTTACTATCTAGCTCGAAGAATTGCGCCTCATGAATGAGCAGGTCCAAGTATTGGAAGTCGGACGGCAGCAGAAGCTTCCTGTAGCGCATAAAGTTGAGGATGTGACGGAACATGCCGCCGTCACGGTCGATGAAGTAATGCTGCTTCAGAGTGTCCAGAACTATTGGAATAGTGCCGTTAAACATCTTGCTCAGTCTGGACTCCGGGTATCTGTAATAATAATTATTTTATTTAAGAAAATCAAGTCTTGCTTTTGTGGTGATAGTTGAGTAGCACACATTTGTGTACTACCCGCAGCTAGTAACGTAGTCGTGGTGGACCGGAGGTTAAGGCTTCTCATGCATTCGGGTACGGGTTCGAAATCTGGCAAGTAACAATATGACTTTTTCCAAGCACATTTCTATCAATGATTATTTAGCACCACTGATATAAATGTAGTGAAGGAAAACATCGTGAGAAAACCTGGACTGATAATTTCTAATTATGAGTTTGTAATCGCAAATCCGCCTTAAGCATAAGCCTAAGCGTGGCGATTAATGTTCAAATACCATGTTTGAACATTAATCGTTGTGGATGGTAAAGGGCCAAATCTTTATTTGTATATTGGTAGTCCTTTGACTACCAATACACAAATGGTGGTAAAGATGATAAAGGGCCAAATCTTTATTTGTATATTGGTAGTCCTTTGACTACCAATACACAAATGGTGGTAAAGATGATAAAGGGCCAAATCTTTATTTGTATATTGGTAGTCCTTTGAATACCAATACACAAATGGTGGTAAAGATGATAAAGGGCCAAATCTTTATTTGTATATTGGTAGTCCTTTGACTACCAATACACAAATGGTGGTAAAGATGATAAAGGGCCAAATCTTTATTTGTGTATTGGTAGTTCTTTGACTACCAATAGACAAATGGTGGTAAAGATGGTAAAGGGCCAAATCTTTATTTGTCTATTGGTAGTCCTTTGACTACCAATACACAAATAGAGACCGAGCAGCTGCGTTCTCCGGTATACCTGGCCCTTTTATTAAAGGCATCAGTCCACAAATAAGTTGACGTATAACTTGACGGTAAACAATCAGGAAACACGTCCATGGACTGCGCCGCAACACCTAAAGTACTCAGACGAGGATGCTACCGACCATTTGTGGGTTCATTCCATCCATTCCATCCAGTGTGAGTACGCTGTGTCTTGGAGAAAGAAAGTGAAGTTTCAATCCGACTCGATTGCATACTACACGAAGCTTAGCCAAAGTGTACCAAAACATTATCTATCTATGTTCTATTAGTAAGCTACAAACTAATAAAAGCTTGAAATCTTGCAAGGAAAATAAACGATTTCGTAGCAAGTTTGCTACGAAGATAATATGATATCGCTTTACGCTATCGTAGTGTTAAAAAAGACAAAGAAAATAACACAATCGTAAAATGATAACAACATAGCACCTTTTAAACAATTCAAATGTTCAGTGGTCAATTCTAGAATGATGCAAATAGCCCGTGCGTCAGTGAATAGTTGATTCAAGTGAACTAGATACAAAATGATTTCCGATTGAATGCTCTTCATTTACTCCATGATATTCAAGTACCGAGCATATTTAAAATCATAAATTATTACTTGCAGGGTCAGGTAGAGTGAAGAACTCTCTTAAGTGTGGGAGAGCCAAGCTTCGGCACGAATGGATCGACTCGACCGGAGTGATACCACGCCCAGAATACCGACGTGAAACAACCATAGCGTTGTGTTTCGCCGTGTGAGTGAGGTTACCGGAGGACCAATCCTTCCCCTCCCCCGATCCCCTCGCAATCCCTAAATCTCCAAAACCCTAATCCCTCGCACTCGTAACTTCTCCGTTGCGGGTGTCCATGGGCGGCGCTGATTACTAACCATCAGGTAATACGTCAGCTCGTTTGCCGACCTATTTCATAAAAAAACTGTAGTTTCTATGTGCTGCGCAAAAGTCTTTTGAATGTATGTAATGAAAACATGTTATTACAACTTATGCAGTCTGTATGAAAATAGTTTTGTATATTCATCATCATCAGCCTATTTCCGTCTACTCCTGGACATATGCATCTACAATTGCACGCCACTGAGCTCGATGTTTAGCTCTTCTCATCCAACCACAGCCAGCCACCCAACGGATATAGTAAAGTCCACTTAGCTGGATGGCGCCCTACACTACTTTTGCCTAGGCGCGGTCTCCACTTTAGAACAGTAGGTAATATACTTACATAAAATAAATTTATTATACAAAACCGTTATATGTTCTTAAAATAATATACTATAGCTACATAATATAATTATAATTGTAATTATATCATATTGAGCGTCACCACCAAGTTCAGCTTTAACTTGTTAGTTTGAACTAAGTAAATTGATACACTAAAACTTGCGTGTGTGGGTGTGTGTGGTTCTTTCGCCAAAAGATCACTACAATATTGGTACTCCCACTCTATTTTGTCTAGACGCGAAAAGAGACTGCGACCTCTCAGTTTGATTTAGTTTTTCTTCACAGAAGAATAAACAGGTCTAATTTATATTAACTTGCTATTGAAGAGCTGTTTTATATTGAACCTTATTTACTGAAATAAATGTTTTTCTTTTTTTTACCATAAACATCGAACAAACTACACAGTTTGCGACTAACGACCGACTGTTGGGCTTTGAATATTCATGATTTCCCAAGATTTTGAAGCGAAGAATATTTTATATTGTGCCCCCAAGTGAGTTGATTAAAAGAAAAAGTGAGGGGGCGAAGGCGGCGTTGCGGGGCGGGGTTGGAGCACTGCATATCCCGCAGGCCCCGCGGCAGCGCCGGCGGCGCGCTCCGACCGACGCTCCCACCGAGAAATAACACGGCGAGCTCAGATAAAACAAGCTTATACAATACGGGCTAACAGCGCATATAACACTGATCATGTAGTCAAATAACGCAGCGACAACGCATGCAATGGGGCCGCGGCCAGAGCCCGCGATGTCTTTATTTCTTCACAAATGAAAAGATATCCTGATGCCGGATTAGAAGAGAATAATTTATATTACATGCCGATGAACCTACATATGTATTGGAATGGTAAATGCATAGTATACTTATCTTGAAGGAATATACAAATTCGTTGAAAGGTAGTTATCATGATGGCTTAATGAAGTATTAATTTATACACAAAAATTAGACTAACGTGGATACGTCTCATGTTCTGATTGTTATTATGTTAACATAACGAATCAGATGCGTTTATCGCGTGTTTTGCTCCAAGTGGATATTTTATATTTATTCATTCATGTAACTAGATTTTGCCGGCGACTTCGCCTACGTCGATGGAAAACTAGTTTCCCATAATTATCCTACAGGAATGTATTCTAGAGATAAAACCTTGGAGTTCCTTAATGGTAAATACCTTAAGAAGAAGTTTACAAGCAAATGCTAAAGATAAATAATTATATTCATCTATCTTAGAACTTCTAAGAACTTCGAAACTTAAACTTGATACCCATTCTTCATTAAAACTTCATATGAATTTGAAACTTTAACTTCTATAAATTCTAAATAGAGTTTAATAAAACTACTGTTTAAGTTTGGAAGAATGTATTGTCTTGTCGGGTAGGAATTTAAAGCCTATGAGACGGTTATAAAGGATTCTAGCTATGATTTTTTTCTTTCCCTCATAAAAAAACGTTGTCATATCCTTACTAGCATTTACATTTGTATCGAGGGTGCACTTACAACAATTTAATACATACATACAATTTCACATACACATTACATGAGACCAGGAACAACAATTTGACGATCACATAAACAGTTGTTCCGCACGGGCTTAAAAGTCGCAACACGATGCGCAGCAGCCAGTTGCCCAGCCACCAAGCCAACGTTTTATTTCATTATATAGTCATGTTTCGTTTTGTATGGAAGTATCTAAGTCTTTATGTTTCAAATAAAACTCTTTTTTGGGATAAGAACAGATGACAAATAATACATAAACGTCGCTAATTAATACCTGTAAAGGAGTAACAGATCCATTGCCGGTCTCAACAACTTACCTGCATAAATTTTCATCGAACTATATAAGTATCGTTGTTTTTATTTAATAACTATTTGAAGCCAATAGGCTTCAATGGAATTGAATTATTTTTGTATTTATAAACAATATCTTAAGGTAGTTTGATAGTATAAGATATCATATTTTTGTAAAAAACCAGACTAGGCTATCGAAAGCCTTAACACTACTCTTTGTCTACAAGTACAACAAAAGTTTACGAGAACAAATAATAATATGCTAAACCCTAATCTAGACTGAAATGCTAAAACAACTAATTTCCAAAAGCGTATACCGTTCATATATGTAATATAAATGAATAAATCAAGAACATATATTATCTATAACTTAGTTATTGATCGTAATCAAATTTGCAAATTTGACTTTACTTTTTTTAAGTAAGTACATTGATGTGGTACCGCACAAGCATTGTCGTCATCACAAAACGTTGGCTACAGGATGCGATTCATAGTCCCTGAATAAACTACACAGGGTGATTGACTATTCAGTTGAATGTATAATGGACAGTTATTCCTGTAAAATCTGCAAGTACTATGCTGAGAAGAAGAAGTGATTTCCTAGTGTCAATAACCCATGGAAGGGCTTTGAACGTAAGATTGAGTTCCTGTTGTATTAATGATCAAGAACTGGTAAACAATTTTTAATAGCATACTGTACTGTTTTCATAGGAACTAAAGACTTCGTTATACGAACATGTATAATAAATAATCTTGTGGGGATCGCTTACATAGTTCTTTGTGTGACGTTCTTTGTATGTACATAATATTGAAGTAATCTCTTTGAGCTCAAAACGGCTTTAATTTTTCTGAAATTTTCATCTAGAACATTTTTTAAGCAATATTTCCCTACCTACCTACTAGTGTATGAATAAGGTAAAGGAACAGACTATGTTTTATAACAAAAGTGAAATAATTTGTTCACTAATGTTTGTCTTCTCCTATCCACACTAAGATAAAGAGAGAATATTAAAGAAGACGCCAGCTTGAATTTTATTTGTATTCCAAAGTTTCACTCCAACAGTAACTTGTTGCACCTCGACTGTGTGACAGACGCTATTTGCACTTACAAACTTTTGCTAATTTCTATGTCAATTGCAATTCTGAACTTTTAAATGTTTATTTAATATTTTATTTTCCAATTTTGAACCTATATAGGTACTATGATTATTAATGACAGAAAAGTACCACACAAAAGTACCTATTTATGGTTTAGTAGGAATAAATGATTTTGACTTTGACTTTTACTTTGATTATAAATATTTTTTGTGACGCTAGACTAAGACTTCTCTGCATCACCCTTGCGGTTGACTGGTAGAGAATGCCTTTCGGCATTAAGCCCGCCTTTGTATGTGTTACATAAAGCGACAACATAAATAAATAAACGATTGGTATATAGATGCTTAAAAGTTTTCGATGGAAACGAAAAGGGTTTAAACTTCCTTTTATTTTATTTCGGTGGAATTTTGTTTTCTTTTGGAGCAAAGTTTGTTGCATATAACTTGTGGACCATCAAATACTCGTATAGGCACCGACGACGTTAACTGAAAAATTCCAATAAAAAAAAATTACCGTACTATTTTATTTTGAACTTCAGTAGCATACATACAGTAGCATACATACCTACTTAAGTCTATATCCATGTGGTTTCTAAGGAACAAATATCTCCTAATAGTTTAAAACAAAGAAACAAACTAATTAATATCAACTGAGTATGTTTTAACAAATATTCCAGTGCAAAGACTTAATTGGAGTTGACGCTTCATTTGCCGCAAGCATTGTCATTGATATCCACAATATGAAAATGCCAGGGGCTCATTTGCATGGCACGACCCCGAGGCTACGCTAGGAAGGATCCCGCGGGCGTACTGAATCTATGGAATGTCATAAACAACAGAGAATAAAGTAAAGAGTTGTTAGCCATATATATATAACAACATAGCTAAATTGGTACCTATAGAAGAGTTTATTTACTACATAGACATAAGAGGTACACACACACATAGCACCTGTCAAAAGTTCAGATATGATTAACACAAGTGGTCAGTGAGTTGTGGGTGACTGCACTTCCATAGTACTTCACAGGGAATCATAAATTAAAAACTCCATTATTTAGCTAAAACCTTTATATTATCCCAACTTTAAACAATCAATAACATCTCTCACATAAATTGTAAGCAAGAATGGAACAAAGAATTTGGGCGTTACCTAAAATTTTCGCTACATAAGCCGCAGATGCAGCTTATACAGATTTTCGGGGTGCAATCGCTATAATGTGCCGCAGACCCGCCGATTTAAAGTTAGTAAGAGTCTGACAGTCCCTCTCGACTCACCCTTAGCAAGAGAGGTAGATGATTTCATAATAAAAAAGAATTTTAGACCAACTCTGTGATCATGAGAAGGAACGGGGTAGTTGTTAGTTAGCGAGAGCCTTACAATCTCTTTCTTACCCTAAACAGTGTGGGAGAAGACTTTGTACAATTCTACTCTCAAAAAAATCTTTTACAGCTTCGAACAAGATCCATATGTAGGTATTTATATTTATAACCCACTCGATATTCATTACGATAGCGACAATACAGATGTTTATTTTCAATCGAGCAAAAATGAAAAAATAATGAAAAGTAAACGTTGTCCAATAACAATAAAATTGTGTTGGGTTTAATTTATTTTTAAGTAACTTCCCCTGTGGTTACGCCACTGTACCTATACAACACAAACTGGAAGTATATTATTTTCATTATGAAGAAAACAATGGCTACCCACGTGAGAATTTAGGCAGCTAACAATAATTTAATAAAGAACCATTCTACTGATATTTCTGTCTCATCATCAGCCTATAACCCACTGCTGAGCAAAGGCCTCTTCCCACAACGAGAAGGTTTAAGCATTAATCACCACGGCTGCTCAAGGCGGATTGGTGATTTCAAACTTATAATTAGAAATTATAAGTCTAGGTTTCCTCACGATGTTTTCCTTCACTGTTTGTTACTGGTGTCTAAATAATCATAGTAGTGTCTATATAACTCGGAAAAAGTCTTGGCTTTTCTTGCCAGGTTTCTTTTTTTTTATTTATTTATTAAATCAGGCATCTGATGCCCATAGAGAATACAATACATAAATATATTATTACATTAAATCATAAATTAATACATATGTTACATAGATAACTTAAAAACTAATGCAATTATAATGTTTCGAACCCGCACTCTCGTGCATGAGAAGCGGGTGGCTTGATCTCTGGGCCACCAATACTCTTATACTGTCTAGCCGTACCAAGCTTTCGAAGAGTGGTTTTTATCATCAGATCATTTTACGAAAATCAGCAGTTACCGCTAGCATACCTTTTCACCATTTTGGCGACTGTTTCCATTTATTAAAGACTCGCCCTGGCTTCGGACAGATACAATGCTGACTCTGTATAATTTCTCCACTATATATTAAATGTTATTATTCATACATATAAATCTTGCTCTTCAATTGCTTAATCTATCTAAAAACCAAATGAAAATCTGTTGCGTAATTTTAAAGAGGGATATATGGACGTAGAAGGAGACTATGTAATGATTCTCCGGCGATTTTGAAACAATTGTTTACACGTAGGTACCATACATTAAATGAAATCAAAGCCATTCTGTGCATACAGCAATAGCAACCAATGTACTTACATAAATGATTTTTACTACTTTGGTAACTATTTCTTTTAAAGTTTTTGGAGTAAAATACTTACGAGGTCAGCGTTTCTAAACACGATGTGTAGATGGTGCCACCTACGTCGATGTGTACAGGGGCATTGTCCTTTGTGGTGGTGGCGACGCGTGGTATGCCGACGATCAGCTTACTGTCCACCGCCAACGACATATCCTCCGGCAACGGACTACCTGCCTTGACGGCCTGCATCTGTAACAATTGCCATTGCTTAGCGCTTATAATGCCTCATTACTTAGAGGACCTGAGTCCTACAAACAGGCTACTTAGCAAAACCTTACTACAATTCATTTACAGAGCATAGTGAGGTACTTTCTGTAATACATATAACAAACTATGCTCGCTAAATATAGCTAAATATTATGCAGTTGCCAAAAACCATAAATTTGATACCACTTTAAATGATAAATAAATTATTGTTTCTTATGTCTGTTTTTAATATGATCTAACTTAGGTAAATACACCATAAATATCGTTAAATCACACTAGTTGTTATCAAAGATTTTGTTATGACCAATATTTTTTTACATAATATTCCACATATTAAGTCATTATCCTCGAGGAATCGGAAAACCCTCCGATATTTTACTTTTTTACGCATGTATATAATGTGTATTATTAAAAAAACAATTGTAAGTACAATAGAGTCCTTTGATAAAAATATTTGAACGTCTAAGTCCTAGGACATTGGTCATAGAAATGAGGAAGACAAAAACAAATTTATTGATAACAATTCAAAACAATAACAGAACAAAAAAACTATCAATATCTCCGTAGAGACGGTTGATTTTACGACAAAAATATTTAGATTAACAAGAACAGAATTAGAAGAAGTAAGTAGAATGCAAGAACAAATGCAAGACGCCAACAGCTACAAAAAAAGGTTTGCAGAATCGTCTAGATTCTAATATTAAGGAAGGCGTCTAGGAGAAATGATTAAATGAGATTAATTCTCAGCAATTATACTTAAAAGAATCAACAACCATTGTCTGAGCTGACCTAAGGTATCTAGATAAAATAAATGAAATGGAATTTGTTTTGCTTTAATGCTTTGAGTGAAGAGTTACAAGAAATGAATTATTATGTAGAATATTATAGATTTGATAGGAATTTTTCTTTTACTAAATTTTTTCTGAATTACTATTAAGTTTTTCGTTTAAAATGAATTGGTTGAGCGTCAATATTTTCAAGCATTTACACTCGACATATCATTTAGGATAATAGTGACAAATCTTCAGATACTATTACAAAACCACACACACACACATCATTAGCCTACAAGTACCCACTGCTGAACAAAGGCCTCTTATCACACGGAGAAGATTTAAGCAAATTTGAAGTCCAGGTATTCCTCACGATGTTTTCCTTCACTGTATGTCAGTGATATACAATTTATCATAGAATAGCTACTCTCTCGCGGTTTCACTATTTAATCATATCGTGATGTTTTATAACCTATAGCACTCAGGAACAGCGGTTCCAAAGATTACCCCCTACATACAAACTTACAAACTTACAAATTTTACCTATTTAAGTAAATATATTACAAACCAGGAAAAACTCACATTGGTACTTGCCAAATTTTGAACTCGCACCCTCATGCATGAAAAGCGGGCACTTTAACCGCCGGGCCAACGTCGACGACGATGACAAATAAAATATAATAATGATGGATCCAATAATGTTCCAATAATGATCCAATAACCTTATTAAAGTAAATATTATGACTTGATTCGTCGCGAAGTCATTTTGATGGTAATATATATATATTATGTAGCTAATATGCTGTTTACGTTTCGTCGAGTCAATATCTCATATTATTATGTACTTATATAACATTAGTATGTATTAATGTTTGTCTGGTATTAGTTAAATTAAATTAAATATTACATACTATATAAAGATTAGTTTACGCAAAATGTCCACGGATGGGTGAAAATGTAGAAGAAATTGACGCCGCCGCTGATTCGATTCCCGAATGGTTCATTTCTTTTTGCGATCTACAAGATGATATTATGTATATGTATATGGTGTCTTTTTATTTCGATAAACTCGAAGACCTTATTCTGAGACCAAGTTTATCAAAGAAAAACACTATATCGTTTTTTTTTTATTTTTAAGAAATTGAATTCTTGAACAACTACTTTCCTTATCGCAGATCGTATCTGAAAGCTGATACAAATACATGGATCCAATTATCTTGTAGTTGTACATAGAATTTTAATTCTTCGTACATTATAATGATAGGATGCCTGAGGAGATCGCGGGTACGTGTGGCTCTGGGCGCATGCCTCGCTATTTAGACCACATCTTAAAGCCCCCGGCAGTTGGCAACGAGAGCCCTCAGGCGGCGGCAACACGAAATTAGAGTTCGTAATAAAAAATATATTGTACCATATACCTCACATTCCCTGGAGTATAGACCGGAGTTTCAGTTGGAGAAACTGAAGTCGAATTTACTGACTAGCTTCAGCTTCCATCAAAATCAAGACTGCGATATGGATGACGTGTAGGTGCAATAAAATGTAAGGATTTTCGTAAAATAATTAGAGAATAATTGAGACATAATAAAAATAAATTTGGAAAAACTTAATGTCATTTTGTTTACAAATAATTTTGCAAGAATACTCTACTATGAAACTAAAACAACAATAGCAGTAACAAAAACAATAAAGTTAAGTTACTTATGAACTTTGATCGCGATTCATTAATTTTATTAAAAATTTAAAATGATCACGGTAATGAGCTGTCATCGTGATGAGTAGAAATTAAGTTTGTTATAGCTGAAACCAGAATTCTAAGTTGGATGAAACAAAAAAAGGTTATAGGTAATTACTTAAAAAGTATAGACTACCTATGTTTTATTCAAAATTCTAGCAATAATTTTTTTGTATGCGAAATTTCATATTCTATTCTGTAATTTTAACGCGAAAATGTAACTTACAAACTTTCGTGCTTATAATATTAGTCAAAATACTCTTTGAAGCTACTTAATAAAAGAAACGAACATGTGTTAATAAAAATGCCATGTACATATACACCGAGCTATAAAAGCTAAACTGATAAACTCACAAGCCATGTACTTTACAAAGCATTAGCGAAAATGATTGCTTTGATGTGATGAGCCATCTTCCTAAACACGGAGGGAACGTTGCTCTATGCCGTAGGTACCCATTGCGATGATGGAAATGTAAAAGTGTAGGAGACGTGAGGCGCCGTCAGCGTGGGAGCCACCAACGAGCCGACCTACTGCCATCGCTCTCACGGCACCCTTCACCGTCGTCTACCTGACGGTATTTTTACATTAATACCATTTCATTTTCTTAAATAAATACCAATCAAATTACAACCGAAGATATATTAACCCCTATATAAATAATACATACATTTTTATATGCATTATTCATGTAGCATTTACGTTGACAGTGAAAATAGTTGGTACTCAGAACGTTTGCAAGTTACAAATTGCTATGAAAATTGTCATTTGCCATGTCGTGTGGCTGGCTAGCCGCCTGCGGCCACACACCGGACCAAGTCCGACTTCAATTATTTTTTATCTCTTGAATGCATCTCCGGCGCAGTCGGCTGGTGGCCTATCTCACTAGTTTCACACCTAACGTTCTATTCAGGCTACACTTGTGACTGCAAAGTAAGGCGCTCTTTATTCTCTCCAAAGCTCCATCCTACCTCAGCATTATTTAAAGAAATAAACTCTATGTACATCAGAGAGAACTAGAAATAACGAGTTCATTTCTCTATTTCAAACGAAACTTACTCGCTCTTTTTGTTACCCTACTTCTCTAAATTATAACACAAAACATGTTTCAAAATTATGAAATGAATAAAAATGGGTATTACGTTTGCATTTTGCATAATTTAAACCAAGCTAAATGCTTCTTTAAAGACACATTTTTAGCGAGCTTTTACGACAACAACGTCGGACTATTATTATTATACGCTTTGTAATCACTGACAATTATAGTCATTTAGTAAAAGTAGAGGAAAAAATATGGCATTTAGTAGCTCGCTGTGAATAGTATACAGGTTGAAAAACGAGTTGGAAATCAAGCGAGTAAAGTCGGCTACTGTATACTCGTAGTTACAGTAGCGAGCCGCTAGAGGGCGTTACGTCGCGAAGCAAGCCACCACTCTTACCTGTCTGGTTCCATTATAAATATGCCTGAGGCTGTTTGCCTGCTCCGCGACAGCCCAAATACCTAATCGCTGGATACCGGCCAACGTAATAAACTTGAACCGTCTTAGGTTTTCGATACATGTCTAATGTGGAGGTATCTGCTACAAACAATAGACAAATCACAGGTACCTAACACAAGAAGGTACAGAAGATAGAGAACACTTATAACTAATTAACACCCGTCATTATTTATTCTTTGCAGCTTATGCAAGAAGCTTCATCCGTTATATCGAGGTTGTACAGTATTGTAGACCATAATCTATCACTGTTTCTAATTTATTCAGATCTGTAAAGTATCTTACATCTATTAATTTTGTACGAGTTCTTTGCTGAACAACTTAAGTAAGTTTCATTTCTTCAGAAACTGCTGCGTTATGTAAATAAAAATCTACACGGTGTTTCAACGTGTGTCGTTATTCTAGGTGGTCGTTGTAGATGCGATTTTATACCGTAGCGGTTTGAGCAGATGGCATGTATTGTATTACTCAATATAATAGCTAAACTATCAGACAAAATTAGGAAAATTATAGACTCAACGTGTGTATATCCTTATATATTAGACAGAAAATAATCGTGTCTCCTGACGATATATCATCATATCACAAGCCAGAAGATGTTTACTGCTAAATAAAACAGTAAATTGGTTGAATTTTTTCAAGACAGAAGTCCTAAGAAAAGGGAAAACGAAAATATGAATGCGATTCTTCCCAACCCAGTAATGACTAGGACTACTAGGTATTAATAAAACTCTATCCAGCTCCTGATTTAACTCACAATAATGACAGAATAAAAAACACCGATAAAGAACAAATTGTTTAACATTTAAAATCTCACTTAAAGTTTAAAGAAAAACATAATTTGTAAGCAGATATTATAGGTACATAACGTGACACATAAAAGTCATTAGACAGCTTATTGGTCACACCGTTGACTAAGCATATAAAACTTTACGAAAACACTCCTAAGGATTCTATGGACTAAAGCATTACAAAACCAC